CATCATCATCATCATCATCATCATCAACGTCATCGTCTTTGTCACTATCGTCGTCGTCATCGTCACCGTCACCATCATCAGCACGGTATCATTATCTGTTTCATTTGGCCGTGTATAGTTATAGTAAATACCATTGTTTATAATTCATCATTTGTGTATCTATACTCTTCAGTCCATGAGATTTTACGACTCTATATAACATCACAGTCATGTTACATGTGCCTACCATCTGTACACTAGTTATGAACTGGGTGAGTAAAGACAAGAAGGCTCGTGTGACTGTGCAGTTAACCATTAATCACTTGCGTCATGCCAGCTTGGCACGACGAAACCACAGAACTCCAGGACGAACATCACGGACTCAATCACTCCCAGGAAAAGAAACTTTGCCCTAAACTACCATTTCCCCCACCCCTCTTCCACAGACAGCGACTGATGGGCTTGCGACTAACAGTCACCAACTGCTAATACATCTTACCACTGCCTAACTTCATCCTCGCTCACCCCAGTCTCCATGAAGCTGTCTCCGTTCACGCCTGTAGAATCGTAATGGTCGTCTCCAGGCTCACTGTCACCGTTCAGCGCTATGATTGGTCCGTCTTCTGGAGGCTCTAGCTTAACTTGTACTTGAGACTGAGAGAGTTGGCTACTGGAAGAAAAGAATTTTGGAAATCTAGTCTAGTCCCATTCACACTGTACGATAAAATAGGGCATTTCCGAGTTGCCCTCTGCCTCTGTTTCAAAACGAGTCTTCGTGCCAAACCATTGTTTTGAAAATGCGTTTCATCTGTAAGTTAATTTTCATGCAAATCAAACTCTGTCGGTTGCTACTAAATTCTGATAAAGGCAATCCTTCGGAGGTCACAACCTCGCTGAGCGTAGCGATCTAAAGCCTTAAACTCTCGCATCACGAAAAATTTTAGGAAACTTCGGCAAATGTGGAGTTTAAAGAAACGGCATGAGAAAACACTGACCTGTTACAATTTTCACCACTTCAAACACTGTTAAAATGCCTTTTTCAGCTACAACTTACAGTGTGTGTTTTCATGTTTTTGCTCTTAGAACATTGAAAGAGGGGCTTACAGTGACAAGAAAGGAGGGCGTAACAAACATTAAACGGTACCAAAATCTTCTTACTTGATATCTTTAGAGCAAAACTCCACCAGTTTAGTGATACCACTGACCACGCCCTCCACCTCCTCTCCGTCTCTCAGAGTTCGGCGCTTTTGGGCCGGCATTTCGTCCCCAGTGTCCGACTCCGAACCCCTTTTGCGGATGTCATCCTGTCCAGAGCCTTCATCCTCACTGGGTGTATTGGAATTGGAAGCCGCTACAGGAAGCAGGTTTACCTGTGTGGGGAGTCCCCCTAAGGCTCCTTGTTGCATCAGGCGGTCTCGTTCCTGTTTCATCATCCTGCTGTTATTGTAAGAGGAGGTTGAAAAATGAGTATAAAAGTTCATGGAACACTCCAACAATCAGTTAGATTGCCTCTGATGTTTGGGAATGCTTCCATCATTTAGACTTTTCAAAAAATCGTTTTCTCTAGAGACAGTAATTAAATTTTAAAATACTACAGCCTTTTCAGCCTATTCAGCAATTTACCCCAGTTTCAGTAACATGAAGCGGCTGGGAGCATTGTTACTGACGCCTCCCTCTTGCATGAGATGCAAGACCATCGCAAGATACCCCCAGCATTCTGTTAAGTTGTCTCAACAATTCGCAGCCACCCTTAATACCCTTAGGTCAAAGGAGGCAATGTGAGAGTAAAGAGTGGCCAGGGGACTCCCATATGAAAAGGTCCAAGAGGCTCGTCGTCTCGCTTGGGGGTATAAATCATGGACTTTCGTCTCACCTAGGGTGTTGATGACGAAACGCCACTCTTTTTAGCTGTCAAAGTATCTTTTAGGGTGCACTTGAAGAAGTAATATAAGAAACGTACTAGTTTCAATTTTTAGGCTCGATTTCCGCCAGTCTCTTGAGTCCGGTCTATTGTACTAGCGCGGACTCCTTTCCTGAACGGCGGCTGGTAATCGAACCTATTCCGTTTTAAGTGGTATCTTTTAGGGGTCAAATAAAGCTAGAGCCACACCCAGATTGGTCTCCTTTAGGGGTTTAATTCAATTTTTCCGAACAGCACTCCCGACCTTTTCATATGGAAGTTCCCCTCACCACCACCGGGAAAGTGTATTGCCCAAGAATACAGTTAAGCAATAGACCACAAGTTTTTATGGTTTATAGGCGGATAAACCACGCGGGATGTTGGAAGGACACGAGAAGAATTCGTAGATCACGAGCCTGGGCTCGTGATTTACGAATTCTTCGAGTGTTCTTCCAACATCCGAAGTGGTTTATCATGCCTCTAAACCATAGAAACTTGTGGTTTTATATAACAATTCAAAAGACACGCGAAATTTCCGTGAGTTTACTGGCACAATAAATCATAGCTGATTGACCAATCAGAGCGCGCGTATTCATTTGATTATTATATAACAACAAACATATTACAATACCAGACAAAAATCAAAAAATAAGCTTACGAGGTGCTATGGATGACCTTCGACTGGGGCCGTCGTTTCATGTACTCGTCTTCGTCCACAATCCACACAGCTCCCTTCACGTTCTCTTTCCTCACAAAACATTTGTGAAGAGACAAGTTATGGCGTACAGCGTTCTGTTAATATTGTCAAGTAGTTTGTACGTTAGTGCAAAACATATTTTCGCTATGCAACATTGAAAATACAAACGTTCACCTCACCGCACACGGGTAATGACTGGAATGGAAACTTCAACGTTTTGCCATCAAAGGACTATTATACACGTACCTTCCATGTGGCCGCGTTTCTCCTGAAGTAAGCAAACTTGTGAATAAACCAGGAGTAGATCTCGTTTAAGGTAAGCTGTTGCTCGGGTGCGTCCAAAATAGCCTGCGAATAGTAAATTGAGGTGATCAACATATCTTTTCTCCTGACAATATCAATGCATTATTAAGTACACTGGTGAAGAAAATAAAGAAAATCATCGGTGGGGCTTTTTTAACTCCAAATTATTAGAACGAACAGTACAAGACATGCATGTTACGAGAATTCAGAATCAAATCTAGAACTGGACTTTAGCACTGTAGGAGTAAGGAATATGAAGGTACAAATATTCTGGTTTTGTGTAAAATTGGCTGAAGAAGAAGAAAAGCACATCGAGCTTCATCCAATGCCATATGAAAAAGTTCAAAATTATGCATTTCTGTCCAATCAGGAGTAAAACCGCGCTTCAAGTGGTTGTCACAGTAACATTATTTTGCTTTGAGTTCTGACTGGTCTATTACACATTTTATGGCAGTCACCTAACTGGTTCTACCCTATGATTACCCTTGAACCTTTATTACTTGTAAAGTAAAACAAGATTCATTAGAACTATACTATTCCTGTGGTACTAGAAACAACAACCTCAGTTAAGGTTACCACGTTAATCATAACAGTTACAATTTCCTCAAATGTGATTGGTGCATAAACTGCTGCATTTTGCTCTAATTAATCTGCAANCGTCCACAATCCACACAGCTCCCTTCACGTTCTCTTTCCTCACAAAACATTTGTGAAGAGACAAGTTATGACGTACAGCGTTCTGTTAATATTATCAAGTAGTTTGTACGTTAGTACAAAACATATTTTCGCTATGCAACATTGAAAATACAAGCGTTCACCTCACCGCACACGGGTAGTGACTGGAATGGAAACTTCAACGTTTTGCCATCAAAGGACTATTATACACATACCTTCCATGTGGCCGCGTTTCTCCTGAAGTAAGCAAACTTGTGAATAAACCAGGAGTAGATCTCGTTTAAGGTAAGCTGTTGCTCGGGTGCGTCCAAAATAGCCTGCGAATAGTAAATTGAGGTGATCAACATATCTTTTCTCCTGACAATATCAATGCATTATCAAGTACACTGGTGAAGAAAATAAAGAAAATCATCGGTGGAACTTTTTTAACTCCAAATTATTAAAACGAACAGTACAAGAAATGCATGTTAGGAGAATTCAGAATCAAATCTGAAACTGGACTTTAGCACTGTAGGAGTAAGGAATATGAAGGTACAAACATTCTGGTTTTGTGTAAAATTGGCTGAAGAAGAAGAAAAGCACATCGAGCTTCATCCAATGCCATATGAAAAAGTTCAAAATTATGCATTTCTGTCCAATCAGGAGTAAAACCGCGCTTCAAGTGGTTGTCACAGTAACATTATTTTGCTTTGAGTTCTGACTGGTCTATTACACATTTTATGGCAGTCGCCTAACTGGTTCTACCCTATGATTACCCTTGAACCTTTATTACTTGTAAAGTAAAACAAGATTCATTAGAACTATACTATTCCTGTGGTACTAGAAACNAACCCCTACAAGGTACCAAGATTATGTTTGCATGGCTGGAATTCTTTTTCACCCATAAGAGGTACTTACCAATTTCACTACAACACATTACATACTGTATCTCCTGTCATATGTTTTTGGGCTCAATACCCTAAAAGGTACCACAATAGCTCCCACTGTGGATCTTTTGAGGCTGAACACCATAAGAAGTACTAAAACTGCTTTTTTAACTAAAAGGTATGACAAGCAACCCCGTCCTCTTAAGAGCCCCCCGCCCTCCTACAGGGGAAGACACACCAGCAACATGCTGAGTGACTTACCTAAAGCTATCCCATCAGGATCTCCATTTCTTCTTTTCTGGTGAACCGGCTTGTCCTCCATCATGTGACAAGATGGTGTTGCAATGACTGTCATGTCACTTTGGCTGTTGATGTCATGAACTGTGATGTTGGGCGGCGGAGTGATGGAATGTTTTCTGCCTGGGCTCCCCATTGTCGGCGGCGGACTTTCAGGTGACATAGGCATCTCTTGTCTACTCTGTAGAGTTGGAGATTGCTGGGCTGGTGGGATATCTTCTAGAGAAGGCATATGAGGATGTTGGGGAGTTGCAACATGAAGTTGAGGCTGTGCTTGGGAGTGAGGCACATGCTGGTGTTCCTCGTCCTCAAGGTCAGGGTTTGTGTTTGGTGTATGTTGAGCAACCTGTTGAAAAACAACAGTTACTGTCAAGTCTTACCCTCTATGAATACGTCCTTACATAACATTACAAACAAACTCTTCTTGAGTTCTTAAGTAATCCCACACTCTGCTGTGAGATTATTTAAGTAAACCAATTAACCACAGAAATGCAAAGTCACAACAAACTAAGCTAAGTTCTAATGTGATTATGGTAAAACCTCTGAACATCTGCTTATGGTAGTCTGCCAATGTGAGCGTGTCTCTATTTCAAAGAAAAAAAGTTACTTTCAAAAGTTCTACCTTGGGAGTATGTAGGTGATTCATCATCGCTGACAACCTCTCACGTTCTTTGTTCATCTGTAAGCAACATTTAAAAATGCAGTCTAGTCTATACTATTGGGCAAGTTGACATTAAATTTACATGCTGTGCAATTAGCATTGCCTCCCAAAATCCAACCCTACGTCCACGTCGTGGGAGGTGGAAACGGTTTTAAAAAGCCGGCTAACAGGGCTCTGGTGAAACCAGGCAGGCTAATATTTCCTGCCTGGTGTATTTTATAGGTTCTTTGACATTGTCAAGGAGCCCAAGTAAAGTGTTGATGGAGGAGAGCCTCCAGTGAAGAAACACCTGCTTGTAAACTAAGTAGCACATTTTTGGTGTTATTTATAGTAAATTATCCAGCAACAAAGGCCCGCAACGTGTGCGAAGAACCAGACAATTACTTAGCATCATAGGCCTACAATGGAATACAGATAGCTAAACAAATTGTGTGTCATAGATGACACTTAAAGATTAGAAAGGGTATAGTAGTCAAGGGATTAAAAGTTTGATCCACAGCTAAAAAATCTTACTAGCAGTAACCCCCAAATTGGGGACCTGAATACCCTGATGAACGCATCAAGGCCATTGAAGGGTACAACACTTAGTAAATTTATATACATGTAGCTATAATACACTTGCACAATTTTGCTTCATAAATGTGCAATTTAATAATAATTATTTCTTATTAAATTATCATTTGCTTTGTATACCTGAAATTCCAGATGCATTACAACTTGCATTTGTACTCGTGCTTGAGCAGTACTCCGTTCATCCAGTGCATGGTCAGTATTAAGGTGACTGGAACACATAAAAGTAATCACATATTAGACAAAACCTTTACGCTGGATATTCCAAGGAGTAATACCTTATCAAACTCCAACAAACTTTTGAATTGTGTTCCATAAAAAATATGACTCACAATATGCAGCGTGATACTGATCTGGAGGAGTAAATATTATATAAAACTAACATGTAATAATTTTTTGTCACCAAGCTTTTATGCAAATTTTCCAAATCAACAAAAACAAAGCTATCACTTTGTTTAACGGGATGATAAAGGGCAAAAGAAGAATAAAATGGAGATACATGTTTATATAAGTGTGGATCTCAGATGGCATCAATTGGTTTGTTCAACTAGGTAGAAGACTTACTGTAAAAACTGTTGGAAATTCTCACAGAAAGCCTCACATCCAGGCCACTGGCAGATATTGTGATGAAACAGTGGATGGTGCTGAGCTGTAAATAGATCAAAGTATATATCTATATGAAGAGAAACTAGAACATCCTTCACTATGAAAACTTGAAAAAGAAAATTTAATGCAGGGCTGCCCAATTATAGCATTTAAATTACACACACATAAATCAAATGCCAAATATCATTAAAATCACATATTTAATTCTACATCACCCAATGATAATGATTGTTTAAATTTTGACGAGCGGGTGTCAGTTGCATAACACTGGTTGAGTAGGGGAAGGTTCCTCTTTTCTTTCACAGTAGGGGTCCACCTTCCATCCCCTTGAAAGTCAGCTACCTAGTTCGATGGAGTTTTTACTGTGCACATGTGCCAACAAATGCATCCTAATTAGTTGTGGCAGTTGAACAGAGAAACATAAGAATAAATTTTATTAATCTAAATTGGTATAAATGGTTTTAAACGTAACCCCTTAACTTGTCTTATATAACTGAACCAATACAGGAAAATGGAACCAATACACACAGGAATATACATGTAAATCACATATTTTATACCTGTGTGAGCTTCACTAATGAATGCTCCTGTTGCCCTGGAGATCAACAGAATTCAATAAATCAAAAGATTTATTACATTGACTGATACCACACAGTAATGTCTTGCTAGCAATATTTCAAAGACACATGAATTTATATTTTAATTTGTCCCACTCAACGAAACATAAAACATTTATCATGTATTAAATAACCACTTCTGGCGTGCGTCAACATGAGCCTTGTATGACCCTCTTTACTATGTCCTTTCAATCAAAATTACATAATAATGACTTAAAGAAAACAATACTGGCCTGCACAAAATAATGAAAACTGAAAATATATACTGATCAATAATAGCTTTACTGTATAGACCCTTTTCATAAATGGCTACCAACTGAAAAATTCTTTTGTTTTCATTTAAATTAGCCTCACTAAACTTGTTTGGGTGTAAAAATTCTTTTGAATTATCAACTCAAAAACGAGGTTAGTCAGGCTAATTTTAATACTTACAAAAGAATTTATAATTGGCAGCCATTTATGAAAAGGGTCTATAAAGTTTACAACAACCTGATACCTGATACTCAAAAATACTAGTTGGCCTTAGTCATTGGGTATTTCACTTAGAGGGCGTAAAAGCAGCTGAATGACTTGAATGAATACAAATGAAGACAAAGTTACATATGTACCAATGCCCCACTAATGAAGCATTGTGACAATGTGTCACAATGACATAACACCCTAGGGCTGAGGTTATACAATCATGATAAATACATGTATCAAATGTTAATATATTTATTACTAACAGTTGCATTGATAAGCAATTAAATCATATTTCCCCACATATGGTGTATGTTCAGTAAATAATAATTATTTAATTATGCTAATTATTAGCATAAATATCAATGAAAGGACAGGACCTCCTATACCTGCTGACCTATAGGTACAATCATTGCACTATTTTACCCACTTGTGCTAGCCAACAAACAAGCCACAGTACATGTTTAAAATTTGACACCAGAAAAGATACTGTGATGATTCAATTTATTTTTTGACTGAACATACAACAGATACTGGAACTTGAATGAGCTGTTTCAATAGGGGTATACAAAGCCATAACCCAAATTTAATGCCAATATGTTCAAAATCATCATCATCATTATTTATTTGCAAATATAAAACGTCTATCAATATTACAGAAATTTAAACAGGGCAGGGAGACCTCTAAAAAACTACCAGGCTTATACAATATGGGGCAATTACCTCAATTATGTGGTTTTACCCCAAGAAGAGAAAGCAGACTACTTGTGCATTATTCACATGAAACTACATACACCCTTGAGACCATCCATTTTTAAGCAGCCAATTTGAAACTGGATATATATATATAATTATTAGGTTACTGGAATGAGAAGTGTTATATCCACAGTAGCAATAATGAGACTCAAATTAAAGAGAATTCACCATGACNCCCCCCCCCCAAAAAAAAGCCAAGATTATTGCTACTAAAGGAATATTAATGTAATATTTCAAACAACATTTTATACATGACCTGATAAAAATTGTTACTATCCAAAATAGCACTTTACTTACACTGATCCTTCTGGTGGCTGTGGTCTTCCTCCTAAGGCAAAAATATTAATTGTTTACTTAATTATTGTATAAAAGTACTCAAAACATATTGTCACATTTGATTGACTCCAAATAAAAAGGAATCAACAAAAGTACCATCTCACAGCTGTTTACACCAATTGGCGGCGATTAAATTTATTTTTGATTTCAGAACTAATTAACTTCTTGGTCACAAGCCAGGAAGTACCTAGAGAGTTGTACAGGGGGTATATTTGTGAGGTGTGATTACCTGATTTAATTTTTCTTGATTTCATCACTCTATTCTTCGCAATTTTGAGATGTGAGTCCTTTGAAGGGTTACAGTTGTCTATTAAAAGTGATTTAGGTATGCGATTTGCAATAAGGAGCCTTTACTTAGCCTTTCACGATTTTGCTTTCTTCCAACACTCTTTCTTAAGTGTAAGAGCAGGTTGTTAAAAATGGTACATGTACCTTACTTTTGTATTTTTGCAATTCGGGAGAATGAAATTTTGATATCCATGACCTATGATTCCCTATTTTTTTTTCTGCTTGTGAACTGTGTCAGAGACCCCACCCCCCTCCCCAGTATGACCCTCTACTTATACATTTGGCACTCAGATAAGTGTGCATAACCATCAATAAGGAGATGTAACAATATTTGAGCTTGTAACAGAAATTGTTACAGACAGCAAAGGAATCAATGCAAGACATGAATACCATAGCTAGACAGGTGAGGATCTCCAAGGCCTTTCCATTTGCCATCAAAATATGGTCGAAGTTCTTGCTCTAATATTGCCTGCAGAAACAGTAACAAAAAATGTTGTTGTTATTAGTATGTTTCTGATATCTCTGATCACTGTCACACTGAGCCATACAATTACATATATTGTCATTATTACAATTTATTTTGGCTATGGCTTTGATATAATTTGAGCAATATGTAAAAAGAGGTGGGAAGGGTGGGTGCTGTGAATTTTGAAATCGTCCCTCTTGTTGGGGACACGTAAAACTGGATGTCAGTAAAGAGTTTACAAACTCTTTACAGGCCTGTCTCAGAACAATTGCATTTATTTTAATTACCTGTGTCTCAATTTGCTAACAAGTGAAAGAGCAAATGTAAAACTCTCTGTGCTCCCCAGAGGGAACAGGACATTTCTATACCTTGCTCCAGACAATAAAATGCATTCAGGTCATTGCAAGGAGATAATGAATACACTGTATGAAGGTTTGGTAGTATTGAGGGTAAAGGATTTCAAATCCACTACAAATGTAATAAGGTGTAGGTATCCAACTTCTCATACACTGGTGCTAATAAAAATTTTATTGCTGATGAGAGATATTGCTCCATTCAAACCATCAATTAGTATTTGTTGGTAACATGTATCAACAAATAAGTAAAAATGAAAATAAATAAAAATAAATTACAATCTTTAGAGAGGAAGCCATATCAGCCTTAACTGGTCTTTATGCGGGTCCTCTATCCTGGTCGAATTTGAATTGGAAATGTTTGTTCAAGTGGCTGTGGAGGGAGAAAAACACTTGGCGCTAGGCGAGAACCAACAACAAACTTAACCTGCATATGGCACTGGGTCGGAATTGATGCTGAGCCACATTGGTGACAGGCGAGTGCTCTCACTACTGCACCATCCCTGCTTCCAAAAGTACAAATTGGTGTTAGTAACTCTTACCTGATGCTGTTGCATATGTTGTGGTTGAACAGGTCGTAGTAGTAGTGGTGGTGGATGCGCCATAACAGTGACAGGTCTAGGTGGAGTCTGTTGGTGAGGGAAGTGGAAATGTCCACCATCAACAAACCCTGGTTGGCATCCACAATGAGTGTGATCCATGAATGCAGGCTGCTGTGGATGACAGTTGGCAGGCGAATAAACATGATGTGTATGTGGCCCAGGAGGACAGCTGGAGCAATAGTGAACACCTCCATGCTTAGGTGTCACTTTAGAGTCTTGGCTAGTGGAGTTAGAAGTGTCAACCACAACATTTGCTACAGTTGGTGTGACATGCTGGTAGACCATACCAGGCAAGTGAACTTCTCGATTGCAGCAGCAGTTTGGAGAAGAATTTGTGACATGTTTGTTATGCTGATTGATTTTGTGAGGGGTTTGTGCTGCACATGCACAGTTGGCAGAGCTGCATGATTCTTGAGCTCCTTTAGTTGTGAGGTCCACGTTTAATGGTCTTCCTGGACTTTTTGCTGGTGAAGATACTCCAATCTAGTACAAAATAAAAAGTAGGTTGATCAACAAATTTCCTGCTACACAGAGGGTCCAACATAGGTTGCTTTCAATCCCGCATTCCGCCACTAGTTTTGCCTCAATCCCACCATCCGGCCTCAGTCAAAATATTCATCTTGATACTGCCTGGTTAGAGTCGCAGTTCTCCATGTGGGAGACTGTAACATATGATTTTCCACTTTTGATCCTGCATCCTGCATCAATTTTAAAACTATTTGAAATTCCAACTGTCTAAATAATCTAATCCTGTTCCCACCAAAATATCTTCATCCCACATCTTGCCATAATTTAAAAGTCCTGTCATCTCGCATCCAGCTTTCATTTTTACTCTTATTCCGCATCCTGCCAAACCTATGTTAGGCCCTCTACACACATTTTGCTTCAAAAAAGTGAAAGCTTTATTTTCTAACAAAACTGCAAAACTTGAATACAAGTATGTTTCTGTGGATTCATTTAACAATTTTGAAATCAAAAAACGTGGAGCAAAAACAAATCCCAGACAAGTATATACAATTCTCAACCTGCTATTTTTTTTCTTTTCATCTGATATATATATAGTTTCATCTGACATTAATAGCTAAATATCAATGAAGTTATAAATGGCCCCCATTTAAGATTTACAACAGAGATATACTCCATAAACCTTTCATTAAACACGCTTGAAAATTTTTTCAAGTTCCTGTTGTTTAACCTAACAGGGCACGCGAGAATTCACGTGAATCGGTAATCAGAAACTCTCGTCAGGGGTAGGGAGCGTGATTTCGACACATCTGGCGATCGTGTTCAGTTCTGTCGACGGCTAGCGAAAAAAAATACCTTTCGAAATTTCGATGCCACAGAAACTTCGATTATGTGACTTCAAACATGTTTCAAACATTTCCAATTTTTTTTCGAAACCGGAATACTTTTTTCGTTCCGGGTTCGTACATGTTTCATGGTACCGGGCGATTATAATATTATACCCTTTGCATTTCAGGTTCTTATTTTCTTGTGTCACACACTCAGTTGGATGATGTACTTTCGTATAAAATGTAAGTGGGCTAATCATCAAACTGTACGTACACTTACTGCTCGGGATGCTGAAGATACGACAGTCACGTCGTTTTCACTTGATTTATTAGCCATCGGCGAGTCGCTTCACGGAAGATGTTGCAAGCCTCAACTGGCAGCCCTATTGCTTCGACGATCCGACAGCGTTAAAGGCTGTTAAGAAATACAGCAATATATACATTTTTAAAGGCTATCTTTAAGTTAAATTGAACTCAAATAAACGATGCATTAAATTCAAATCTTCAGTCAATTCAACTTCATGCATGGTAAATCCAGACGGAAAAGCGCTAGGCGACCAGAAGCCGGAAATTCAATGCTGATTTCGATTTTATTGCTCGTCTACAAAAATTTATCCAACTACAGTTCATTGGGCATGATTTTAAGATCCATTAAGAAAAGGTTTTTCTCTAAAACAAAGGGAATGGAGTTGTGGAATAGACTTAAATCGAGTCTGAAAGAAAACCGCACTAATTGATTCATGTGCCATATGGACAGGATTTGAATAAATTTGGTCGAGTCAATAACGAGAATGGTTCCCTGAATGAAAATATATTTGGCAAAGTAGAGAAAACTAGCGAAAGAACTTGACAAACATTTAAGGAAGTCCACCACAATTCGTATAACATGTGTTACCTGCAAAGATTTCGACCAAAACTGCTCTCATCTCGAGTCGCCACGCCATAAACAACAACAAAAGACTACTTCGTGTAAACAAAAATAAAAATGGCAATTTCACATTCGATTGCGAGATATAAAACACCAGGAAACCGATTAAAAGGGTTTCCAAAGTTCTTGCCAACGTTGGCTCTTTTTTCACGGATGTCAGTTAAGTATGATTTTCAGAAATAAGGAATTTCACAAAGATAAACATTCGGAGCTTGTTGATAGTGGCAGAAAAGCACGCGCCTTACCTCTGACAATGCCGCGTCGAAATATCAATGAATGAGGGTCGAGTCACATCAGTTAGAAGGACTGTCCGTACCATCCAAGGTTACAGGGGGTTTTTCTTCGATTTCCAGCAAAATAAAATGGAAAACTTTTCCGAGATCGCCGGAGACAACGATAAAGAATATTGTTAATTTTCGCTGCTAAACAATTCTGTCGCGTTTGTTGTTGATGAATTTACTTTTAGCCCAAACAAAGCCTCGCTTTGCAGCGTGACGTCACGTAATTGGCACCCGTAAATAAAAACAAAAATAAACAGAGGGTTGGGAAACAATAGGTCTCCCACGCCAGCAATCTACTTTTAGCCATCTAAACAATACTTCTCTTTGTGAGAAAATATTACTGTACATTACTTTCAGACGCACTCCCACATTGGTTTTAGCTCAATGCTCAACAAACAAAACATGAAAATAAAAATTCAGCTGCCACCGCAATCCGTGTCAATCACATCAAATGAAAAACGTGTTTTTCTTTCTAACCTGTAATGTTTTCGCTTCGAGTGTTGGTGATCGTATTCCATTTCTCCCAAGATACCCCCCAGACAACACACGACCTTGGGCAAAGAAATCGCTGCCATGAAGGACAGGATATCACATTTGAGAGGATTCTGATTGGCTGCGACTTCGACACTGAATGAAAAGCTCTAGTTTTAGCAAACATAGAGATTATTGTTTTTCCAGATTATCAAAACCTTCCAGCTGAATTTGCCATCAGTTTTTGTTATTTTGACAGATTAAACAACACGTGTTCGCGATTTCTAAGAGTTTTCTTTATTCCTTTTAAAATATCAATGCTAAAAATGAGGCGACAGAACGCGTTCGCAAACTTGAAGTATAAAAGTTGGGAAAACGCTTCGCATAGAACGCACGATGTACAGGGCTCTAGCAAATCTAGGATATCGTATTTTGTTTATCCATGCATTACTGCCTAACCCATATCAGAAAATGATGAATGTCATATCCAGATATCTTTTGTTTAATTCACTCTGTTGGTCGCAATTTGTTTGTTATTCTGTCATATTCGAAACCTTGGTTCGAAACAAAAAATAAATCTTGCACATTTTAACTCGAACGATTCCTCGAATGCTATTCAACAACGAAATGTTACTTTTGATTTATCACGACGCTCTGTCGTTTCGGCGCGTGCCGTATTTCTGAAGCAGTTTCCTTAAAAATTATCAGAAAAATTTGTCCGTAATATTAAGCATCACTACGGACAGGTCGGACAGAGAACTCAACAGACTAAATGTTCACCGTGACCTTGAAGAGACTGATAGTATCACAATTGTTTTCTCTCCTCCACATAAACAAAGTCCCGCAGCATGCGGTATTTCGAAATCTTTAGACTATTTCCATAATTGTTGTTTAGCTTAATGTATGAAAGCAACGTCCCATAGAGTTGCTTTTGTCTGAGATCTTCTCATTTTGAAATCGGCCATAGTTCCCCCAAGAGGCCTCGTTGTGCACAATAAACATTGTCAATCATTTTCAAGAATATATTTTTAAGCCGTCCCTCTTCAAGGTGGGGACATGAATTATTTGTGATCTCCGTTCATGTGTTGTCGACTCTGTTGTTTATTCTTTCAGCCAGCCAACGCCCTCTTCTTTCATGCCACGTTTAGCTAAAACTACAATGCAATGCGACGGAGCGTAAAAGACTAAAAAGAGTCATTAGGTTGTAAAATCCTGCTGAAACGAATATTTCCGGGTTCAGGATGTTGGGTCGATTATAGCCAAAACCAGGAACTTGAATTTAATACAAAAAGTGCTGTATTTTTCCAAAACCAACTGAAACCGTGATCGAGGGTTTTTTAAGTTGTGACCGAAACTAATTGTACATTATAATATTTGGATCTACAGAGAAAACATTTCAAGGTGGTTAAATGCTGCTTAGCTATTGGCTGAAAGGACAGAATTAATGAAAAAAATATATGTTGCGTGCATGGCCGTCTAGATGTTGTTATGTTCTGAGTGTTGTTATGTTTTTAAGTGGGTTTAATGGCGCCGGAGGTCTCAATGCGCCTATTTTGTTATTTTTCTCCACCACGTGCCCAAAATGGAAACATTTTAAGCGATTAATTTTCATCCAATCAGACAAAACTGCGCTTAACTAGTTTGTACACCATCTCTTGTGTGTTCGTAGCACTTTTGGTGCACTGCAGCACGCTATTTTGTTGCCGTAATTGAGTAGTTAAATGTGGTCTATTACAAATTAAGGTGGCTTTGTAATAATGTCACGCGAACGTTTTGTCGTGGAAAAAAGGCCATAGTTCTACGAGGTTCTAGGAGAAATAGCTACTATAGTCAACATATTTTACCCTCCTGTACTAGAAAATAAATCCAGATATGTAGTCATTAATAATTACTGTTTTGTCAGCACTGATTTTGGTCATGACGTGTATGCTTACTGAGATTAAGTTACGCAATAAACAGCTGAGTACAAGCAGGTTGATTGTGCCCACTAGAAAACCATTCAGCAACAAATGTGTCTCGTACAGTTTGAAGAACTTAAATGGATTCTTCAGGTTCTACTACAAAAAAAATAAAGCACTAAAAAAAAAGTTATCTTCGTGTTTATTATTTTAAATTCATTGCACGTCTTAATGCGGCTGCTTATGCGTTCAGGTGCAGGCCTTTGTTGTGTTGCTCCCCTTATCATTATTTTCTGCTAGTCTTACCCCTTTGTTTGTATGTGTCAGTACACTTTTCCTCGTCCGCCACAATCCTTAACATTTTGATTAATCCCTCCCCCCGACCACAATTCTAAGACCAAGTTCCCTCCTGACGGATGGTAAGTTCTCAATTCCCTCCCGACGGATAGTAAGTTCTCTTTTCCTAACAAATGCTCGAAGGCAGGAGCCCATGGGTTCCTATCGAGGACTGACATGTAGTTTTAGAGATCATCAGAGTCTCTTCGTAGTACAAGGTGTGAGTTCTTCCCATTTAATTTAAGTCCGCTATTGTAGAGCTTGGTTTGTATAACTTTATGCCTTTCGAGAAAACGAATTTTCATGTTCATTTCATGACTGTTCTTAGTAACTTGTGATATGCTTTCTTAGTCTTGTTTGGAGAGTTGCTACGTGAGCTAACAAAACTTCGACAGTCCAAAAACGGTTTAACTATAACACTCCATCTAATACTAAGCCCGGGGGGGTGGGGGGAGCACTGCCATATATGGGCTATACAGGTATGTGCCGCTGTGAAGGGTATGGTTTTCAAGCAGTTTACTCTAAGATAGGGTATATAAATCAGAGCGTTTGG